CCCCTCCCTGCTCCCCCCTCCCTCATGAGCCCTTGATAATTTAGAAATTATCATTATTGTGTCATATCTTGCCCTGTCCGATGTCTCCCGTCAGCCACTTCTCTGTTGTCCGGCCCCAGGGCGGAGGTCACATGTAGATCCCTGTCATCGGTTCCCCCTTTCCTACCCTCAGATTCTTTGTGAAGAGTGGCACCCTGAGCAGCGCGAGACTTTGGAAATGGTGCATTGTAAGAATGGAGATAAGAAGAATGTAGAGGGTTCGAAGTCCCTGTTCCTTACTGTTGGGGAGGAGTGTGGGCTGCCAGGTACTCAGAGACTTGTTGAGTTCTTGAACAAAAGTCAGGTAGTAGAGGTCCGTGAAAATGTTCACCATTCGATTATTTTCCAGCAAGTACTGGAGAAAGAAAAAAGAGAGATGTACATTGAGCTGGCCGTGAACTTCTTCAGGAAAGACGAAGATGCCAAAGGCCCCAGGAATGATACCCTTGATTAGGAAACGACGGGAAACTGTTTCTTGATTAAGTAACCCTGAGTGCTTTGCCTGGGTATACCTACAACTCTCAGGTAGCAAGGTTTGCTGTAACAGGAGGTGGCTCGTAGATGTATCTGGCTTATCTCTCCCAGTGCAAGCCAAACGTTATCCCACCACTCAAGGACAAACGTTATCCCACCACTCAAGGACAAACGTTATCCCACCACTCAAGGACAAACGTTATCCCACCACTCAAGGAGCCCAGTTCTGTTCGTTCCTCACCTCCTAAAATGGGTTTGGGGACTTAAAAAGGGGACCCCGATCGCAATAAAAACCGTTCCTTGGCCAATAGTCCTAAAATGCCGTTTTAGAAGAGTATTGTCATCTCTTATCCTGTTTGGAGTAGGAGATTAAAGGCACACTACCTGCTCAGGGAAGGAGGGGAGGGGAGGAGCAGGGAGTAGGACAAAAATAATTTCTGGCGGGACCCTGCCTGTTATGAGGGACTCGTGGGGTGGTGTGCAAGGGGTACCTGCTGGATGCCAAGACACAGATAGTAGATGCTGTCAGGTTCATAGCGTTCACCATTGGGTCGGGTGATTTCTCTCACAAACTGGGCTAGACCGTAGTTGAGCTCAGCAGCCGAGCAGGCCAGAATATCCTCTTTGATGCGCATAGGTTTAGCTGCAGCGATATGCAGTGGAGGTGGATGGGATTAAGAAAACTAGACATGGAGAATTTCACTTAGCTCCACCATGAACCCCTTCATGCTCACCCCCAGAACAAACCCATCAACTACAAAAAACACCCTTGATCTTGAAACCCAGACAGCATCTTCCTTTATCGTACAACTCCTCCCCATCTTCACAGGACACCACTTTAAACAATCACACCCTTATCATGCCCAGACATCTTCAGCTGAATCTCAGCTCCAGTCCTTCCTTCCTCCTCCCTGTCCCTAGCTTCCTCTCGTGGGCACTTACGGCCAAAGCGTAGCTCGTCCCCTTTGCTGGTTTCTCCATTGGCGTATTTTGACTGTACCCAGCATTTCCAAGCATTGACACCATATGAATAGTTGAGTCCGGTACAACTAGGCTGGCTGCTCATGGAATCCCTGGAACAGCTTTCAGAGAGCACTAGCCGCTTTTGACCCTGGGCAGGAAGTAAAGGAGTAGAGTGTGGACGTAAGGCCAGAGGCACCATGAAAGCTAGTCAGGGCAGTCTGTACCACCAGGAGATTGAACACAGCACATTTCTACAGCACAGAGCCCCAGGAATAGTTTTGATGATGTCGTAAATTGAGGAGAGAGCAAAATTCAGCTATATCTTGGTACTCACAGCGATGGAAAAAGGTGGTTAGCGAAGGTCAAATTGAGGTTGCTGGCTTGGCTAAGACAGCACCCCCTCCCCTTTGGGCCTCCATCCTTCTTTTGTGGATACAGCAGCCCCAGCCCTCACCTTCCTCATGGTTCGAGGTAGGTCTTGTTCAGTAGACACGTCCTCAGGCCCCACAAGACCACAGTCAAAGAGGAAGTCCACACTGGGGTTAATGTCCAAAGGATCTAAGAAGAGGGGAAAGAAGGGGAAAAACAATCCATGTTTTAAGATATCAACCCTGAAAAAAAAGGAGAGAGACAATCTTGAAAAGGTGGTGGTGTTTATTCCTGTTATTCTATGGGGTCATTCTCAGCATCCGACATATTTGCCCCTTCAGCAAAATCACTGTTGCCTATGGGTCATTTGTGAGATCAATTGCATTGCAGACCTTTCTGTCCTGGTTTAAATAAAAAGGAATTTACTGAAGTCTTTGATCCACTTAGTCTTCAGAGAATATAGCTTTTTTTTTATTTTGAATCTTTTAGAATACAGCATTATTTTTCAAAAAAAATTGAAAAAGATACCAACCCTGTACTCCTCCCACTTCTTCCCTGCCACTTATCCCCCTGACTCGAGAATAATCTCTCAGACTGCTTCACTGTATTCAATAGAAACCAAAACTACATCAAAAATATGTTCAAAGGCACAAAATCCAGATTAAGTCTTAACTAATGGGTCTTTCCCACTATCTCTGGTACTACTCCCTGTGAGAACCTTGTCTCAGGAACACAGAGCACACTGTTCAGGATCACAAGGAACACTCCCTTTCTGATGGCATACATTCTACTGAGTAAGCAGGCCTTGAATCGTACTCACTCTTGGGAAAGTCTGCCTCCAAGTCTTGCCCAGGCTCATCCAAGACATTGGCCATCTTGACAGCCATGGCCAAGACATCATCTCGAGCAGGCCCAAAGAGGTCACAGTCTTCCAGAAGTCCCTCTGCACTCTGGTTGCTCACAAGGTCTGGGAGGCAGAGGAATGGGCATAATCATGGCAGCTACTTCCCAGCACCCTTAAAACCTTCCAGGGAGTTAAACCCAACCATTCCCTCTCTTCCCCTAGTCCACTAAGTACACCAAAATCACTACTTTCCACCGCCTTCGGCAGAAGCAGACTAGTATCACCTTGGCTCCCTCAATATCTCAATACCATAGCATACCACAAAGGTCAGATGAGGCCTTGTCTAACTCCTCAGCCTCTGCAATCATTTCTGCCATAGCCAGGATGTCAGCCTCCAAAGGGTTGGAAGGGATCTTGACCTTCAGCTCCTCAATGGTCTCCACAATCTTGTCTGTGTTCTCCAAAGTAGTGGGCAGGAACATGGGCACAGGTACCTGGTGACACGGACCCCAACTAAATGCCAAGATATGCACTAGAAGATGAGAGAAACAGCTGGTGAGAGTAGGGAGCCTGGTGCATCTCCATTCCAGCTGGGCAGGGAGACTTACTGGGATAGGCATTGAGAAAGGCACGGGGACTTTCTGGCAGTACAGATGCATAGGCACTGGCACGAAGATGGGCACTGGGATGGGCAGCACGATCACCTGGGGCTTCCACTCTTCTGCTGACAAGAAAGAGTCTCCTCAGGGCTTCTGCCAGACTGATTACATCCTACTCAGCACCAGATGATGCTCGCTGGCCACCCCCTAAAAGCTCTAACACATGCCCAGGGTCACCAAACTGACCTGGAACCAAAGGCTGAGAGATAACTAGAGGTAACTCTGTGATTTTAGGGCTACCCACACTCCACACTTCAGCCACCTAAAAATATCCCCCTATCCAGCGCCCAGGTATAAGGATGGAGGCTTTGGAGGGCAGAATGTGGCTCATGGTGTCTCGGCGCCCTAGCTCACCTGTCTGACTCCCTTTGGACTTCATCTCCACCTTGCAGGAAACTCCCCTATTCTGCATCAGCGGCTTACACATGGCAGCTTTGTTTTTGCGGGGTGTTGCTGGAGGCGGGGGTGGGGGTGGAGGGGTGGGAGCAGTTGGAGCTGATGGGATTTTAGCAGGGATCTGGAGAAACAAAGGACTGTTAGTACCACTAACTACCTTACCCTCCTCAAAGATTATCCACCCCCAACCCCCAGCTTTTGCCTTGACCTTGCCCAAATTCCCATTTTCCTCTGGAGTCCTCACTGTGTTGCCGTTCTCCACTTTGGTTTGAGAGGGTGTCTGGGGCTTTGCCTCAGAAGACTGACCTGCAGATCGAAACAAATGAATGCTGTCATCTGAGGACCTGGCTGTCCATTTCATCAACCCTGTTCCAGGAAGACTTCATTAAGAGAGGTACCCAATATAAATGGGGGGAGGGGCGTCTATGCTCTCCTTCCTCATCACCTCAGGCCTAGTCTTCTCTAAGCTCCAAGAGTGTGACCAAGAAGATTCTTTGTTCCTAAATGCCAAGAAAAATTTTAAACAGTGTTATTTCCCACACTAACTCACACTTTGAGACCTTCCATTCAAACCCCTCAGGAGTTTGGTGTTCCTATGGCAGAGGGCTGGGGGAGCAGTCAAGAACCAACAACATTGTTCAGTCCCACCACAAGCTGTGCTTACATTGACACTCCCTTCTCTGAAACGAGGATCATGGGAACCACAAGCCCACGCCCTCCCCCCGCATCCTACCTCAGCAGGTAACTACTCCCTAAATAGCTAGCTTCTTTTGACATCCAGTAGGATCTAATGCCGAGGACTTTAAAACTAGACTCTCCCTAGTGCTTTCAGGATTTGGAAGCTAAATAAAACCATGGTCCCAGGAGCTCGGGCCGGGGATGTGGTGCAAACATTAGGAGGAAGGAGAAAGGGGCTGAGCTTGGGATGACAAGATTTAAGTCTAGTTCTAAAGGAGTGTGCCCCCCTGTCCTGGACTCACTGTTCAGGAGGCTCTCGGGCCCACTCTGGGTGTCCAAGTTGGGTTGGTTCTGCTGACTATAGAAGCGCAGCAGACACTGCTGGTTGCAGAAGTGACGGATCTGCCCACGCCAGTGGATGGTCTCCAGCAGCTTCCCCTGGCGCTTACAGGCATGGCACCGCGCAGCCTTTGGGAATCAACAGGACAGTCAAAGCTGCCTCCCTAAAATATGCCGGGCCCTTTCCCCTGGCTTCTCCCCTTGGAGATGGGGCCAGCTAGACCCTGGCCAGGTAGTCCCTGGAGGACATCATCATGCTTGGTCATGGGGTAGGGCAGTGAAAGAAAGGAAGGGCCTCAATGAGATGGATTGACACAGTGGCTGCAATCATGGGCTCAGGCAGAGGAACCACTGTGAGGATGGCACAGGTGTTGCGATCGGGTCTCTATGGACCGGAACGGACTCGATGGCACCTAACAACAACAGACCCCACTCCTAACTCCACCCCGAAGATCTGACCATACTCTCATTGGACAGTACGATCGTCCATGCTCCCTACTGCCTTCTTTCCCTCCGTTCATTCTAACCGACTGCTGGTCATCCTTACCTTGCAATACCACAACAGGTACTTGCTTTTACAGTCCTCACTGCAAAAGTCCCAGGTGCTGCCATCCAGTTGCTCAGTGACACCGCGTTGACAGGTCTGAGAGCAGTAAGTACAAGTGATGCAGCACAAACCCAGCTTCTTAGTGAAGTCCTGTTTGTACAGCAGCACACAGCCTGAAAAGAGAGAGACAGGAAAAAGTGTCCCGAGATACCTGAGGCTAGGAGACTCAAACCTTTTAAAGGTGCTGCACTTGAAACCTCTCTAAACCTCTGGACACTCGCTCGTGCCCAAAGCCTTCAGGAGAGGGGTCGAACCCGGAGAGCCTAAAACCCTGGTCCAGGCTGCATTCCAAAGCCGTTCTCCCTTCTCCACCCTCCCTCATGGCTGGGAGCTCCTTACCTTCACTGCAGAAGCTCTTTTCCACCCCACTGAATCGAAGTTTCTCATGCAGGAGTTTCTCTTGCCGGCAATGCTCACACTGAGACACCACACCCCGAAGGCGTTTGAAGTCCTCACAGCAATCACGGCAGCAGAACTGAAATACCTGGTCCTGTGATAGAGGCAGAGAGTGGGAATGATAAGACTGTGACATCGGGACTCGGCAGGAGCCAAGTGACAGGACCCCTTCAGTCATGTTGCCTGGTTGTATGGCAGATATGGGTGAGGTGGGGGTCTTACCTGCCAGTCCAAGACCTCAGGCTTGCCACTGAAGAGGCTATGGCAGTAGTGACAGCTCAGGTGAATGCCCCCTTCAGGGCTTGTGCGCTGGAGGGAAGGAAGACAAGTAAGGAAGGGGCAAGATGTGTGTGGTGGTGGTGGTGGTGGTGGCGTTGGGGAAGGGGAGCCAGGCTTGTGCTTTCCTCTGCCCAGGCCCACCTACCCCAATTCTCCTACCCTCTCTCTGTTGCCACACCCTTTATCCCTGGTCCAGGGCCTTGAGTACCTGGAACTTGGTCCAGCAGCTGGGGCTGCAGAACTGGTAGACTGTGCGATCAACCTTGTTGTAGTAACAGGGGTCAGAGAGGCTGCGGCGGCAGAAGCTGCAGGGTCGGGGAGGGCCTGGGGCAGAGAGAGAGAAAGAGAAAGAGAGAGAGGGAAAGAGAGAGAGAGAAAGAAAGAAGGAAAAAGGGGGTGGGAGAGAGAGAAAAGGAGAGAGAGTACACAGAAGGTGTAAGGCAGTGCAGAGATGGAACAGGAAATCCATGGGAAGATATTGTTGGGGCTGAGGTTGGGCAGCAGGGATTACTTTAGAAGAGGGGAGTATGGAAGGCCAGCAAGGGTCTCAAAGAAGAGGGCTTTGCACCTACCAGTGAGCCCTGCCTGCTTCACTTTGTAAGAAGTGGTACAGCACAGGGAACAGAACAAGCTGGTCTTGCCATTACGATCCACATGTGATAGCATCTCAAAGTTCTTACACAGGGTCTTGCACCAGACACATGGGTACACACGTGTGTTTTTCTGTGAGGATGGGGAAGGAGAGGCTGAGGCTGGATTTGTCCCTTCACTTTTATTTTTAAATTTTTTTAAACATGAATGAAATATTCAGGCATACAAAAAAAAAGTATAGCTGATGACATAACAGAGACCTGTGCATCCACCAGCCAGCTTAAAAAATAAAACATAACAGATACAATGGAAACCCCCTTTTATTATTATTATTATATTAGTAGTAGTATTTTTTTTTATTTTCTCCCAGCCCTTGACCCATCAGGCACCTTTATTTATCACCCCAAAAACCACTCCCCCTTCCACAGCCCTCTAAGTCACTACTCCCTCGGCCCCACCTTCTTGTATGCCCCCAAGCAGGTTGTGTTGCAGAACCGCTTCTGTTGGCCCTCGTGGAAGAGGAGCTCGGGGCCAGGGCTCCCAGTCTTGGTGTAGATGTAAGCCCCACACTGGTCACAACAGTTGGTTTTTAATCCCTTGTTGGCCCGGAATTTGGAGAAGCAAGAATCGCTGCAGAGCCGATGCACCACGCTGCCATTGCTGACCTCGTGTAGGACCTGCCACACATACACACACATATCCTGAGCTAGGGGTTGGTTACTACCACCCACCCCGTCACAAGGACATATACCCATCTCACCCTAGACCTTCACAGCAGACAATGGGCCCAGGGACCCCCCAACCTGCAAGGCTGCCGACTTGATGGCGAAGTCCTGGGAGCCAAGGAAGGCCAGCTGCACACATCCTGGAGAAGCTCTAGCCTTGAATATGCTCCCTTATGAGACCTGCCTTTCCTCCCCACTCCCTTTTTTCCACAGGGCTGGCCCCTGCAGCCCCAAGGTTGGAGGGGCAGGTCAGGAATTGCCAAGCTCTGTTAATCAGCCCCACCAAGCCTCCTCACCTCTCCAGTCTTCTGGCATATGCTGCAGCGAGTGGCATCGGCAGGATCTCCAGACTGGGGGAGTGGGCGCTGCTGCTGGGCCTCATACAAGGAGAGACAGACAGATGTGCAGAATTCATGGAAGGAGCCTCCTGAACCAGTTTGTGCCACAACGGAGTCCTTGGTGTTCCAGATCTCCCTGAAAGTAGGAACAGGTTTGAATATTCCCCTACTATCACCCTCTCATTTGATCAGTGTCCACCCCTCCTTGGAGATCAATGACCACCGAGCCAGGAACTCTGACTTCCTCCCTGACCTGTGTCTCTCTCAGTGCCACTCTTCTAGGTTCTTTCCCTCATAGTCTCAGACTTGGTCAGTTCTCCCAGCCAGATCCCTGCCCTCCCCACCCCCTGGGATCCTCACGCACTTCTTGCAGAAGGTACAGGGTTTTTTGCCTGATGGCTTCTTGGAGAAAGTGGTGAGACAGGACGAAGAGCAGAAGAGCTGAGGCAGCCCCTTGCGCTGGTAGGCCGTCTGCCCCTTTTGCAGTGGTGTCCGGCAATGTGCACAAGTCATCTTGGTGCCCACTGCAGAGCGCCCAGCCCTTTGTGCCACACTTGAGCGCAGGGACATGCGAGGAGAGCGCCGGGGCCGGAAAGGCACAAAGTCCTCATCGTTGGGGTCATCTACCATGGCATCAGAATCCTCATCTGATACTGGAACTGAGGAAGTGTGGGGGCAGTAAGAAAAGGCAACCTGACCACGGCCCCTTCCACCCCAGGACCGATAGTGAAGCAGCTCAGCTATGCTCTTTGTTCTTGCCTTCACCCCCACCCCCCGCCCCATTATGCTGCTATCTTAAATCACCAGTGGCTATCCCTCTTGGTTATGCCATAAGCTCCCAGGGAAGGTAAAGGAGGGCTCTAGGTGCAAAGATTTAGGGACAGGGATGGCATGGCTGAAACAGGAAACTCTCTATCCTCATTGCTCCTTTACAGTTTCCCCCACTGCCCCTGGTTCCCATGCCAACCCAGAGCAGAGACAGGCATTTCATGCTCTACATGGAGCAGAAATAAAGGAACTAGAAGATCTATGTCCTGCCACATCCCACTTTCTGTTCTCCCATCCAGAATTCCCAATTACACTTCCTCAAGGCCTACTCACTGCTCTCAGTGGAATCCACAACCTCGGGTTTTGGAGGCTCCATTCTTCGAACGCGCTCACTTCTCTTCTGCACCTTGGGAACATGGGGAGTGGAGGTAAGCTGATACCCTGAGCAGGCTCAGGGGCCAGCTGCACTACCTGAGTACAGGGTTCAGGGGGCAGAAACCTGGGAGTACGGAAAGAGACTAACTAGAAACCCTTGGTCCAGGAGGAAAGAAGAAAAGGAGGCTGGCTTTTCTCCTTGAATAGACACAAGGGCTCCTCCCTCCTCCTAACTCTCCACTCTCTACCGGCCACCCCGCCCTCCCCGCCCCCACACACCATCATCTGGCTGGGACATGAAGTATCTGTCCTTCCCAGAGATATAGGGAAATCAGACTCCTTCCAATCCCCTCCCACCCTCTCACCCTCTCAGGTGGCTTCTCACTCGCCTTCCCAGTCAGGCCATCTCCTGCAAAGGAAGCAAAAGGCAGCCTAAATCTTGAGCCTGCTCTCACCACCTCCACCTGGTCCAACCCCTGCCACCATTCCAGGGAGGAATTTACAAAAAATGGAAAAGGAAAACTCAGGAGTATCTGTGGTTGCTTGGGGTTCCTTTTAGGAATACCTCTGGCTAAGTATGTGTGTATGTTGGGGGAAGAGAAGGGAGAGGGTTGCTATTCTCCACCGGGGAAAGTCCTATTCTTCCCACCAGCTTTCAGTCTGTCATTAACAGTAAATGAAACACAGGTAATAGATGTTCCATCCATCATTCATATTTTACCAGCAAAAACAAATGCAACCATCCAAAGGTAGCAAGGGGGTGGGGAAGAAGCATAAATGTATGACTAGGTTCCTCTGGCCTCAGGTGGTTGTACAAACCCCAAGACCCTACCCCCGCATAGCAGAGGCACACCGCTAGGCACAAAGGAAAGGAATTAGACTCGCTCATGTCCAGGATGACCCTTCCCCCTCAGAATGGAATCTCAGATGCCGAATTTCTGTAATTTCCCAGAAATCATGGTGCTGTTGGTGGCTCCAGAATCTAGTGATTATTTCTCAAACCTAGAAACCCTGCTCCTACCTAGAATAATACAGCCAGAAATATCTTGGAACCAGAAAACCTGGTGTCCCCCTCAAATCCCTGGCACCCAAAGCTCACTAGGGTAAGAAAAAAAGAACCTCTCCTACCAAATTCACTTCTCCTAATAACCCACCTCTTTACCTTACCCATATTCCCCACATGATCCCGGGGCTCCCCATCCCTGCTTCCCATGCCCAACTCCTCCTCGCCATACTCTTTCTCTTTTTCCCCAAACACAAGTCCAACCCTCCTTACTCCCACCCTCTTCTTTTTTTTTCCCCCCACCCTCTTCTTAGCCTTGATTTTCCAGCTGATTAGATAACCTACCTGGCAAGGATGGATGTGTAGGGGGGATAAGAACCCCAGGTTTGGTCTGAGAACCTTTAATTTCATCCCCTAGTGTCTCTCCCACCGAAGGGCTGGGAGGGCCATTAGGGCTCTGTGGCTGTCCCTGGGGAAGCTCCTCTTCCTGCCCCGGGGAGCCTCTTCTCCCTGTAGTTATGCAGGTGGTCTCCTCTTCTCCAATGTGAGCAGACTGCAAGGTTATTGGAGAATCTGGAGCCAAAGGCTCTAATAGCCCCTCTGGCGAAGAGGGATTTGCCCCAGCCCCTGAGTTAGATGGCACAACCTCAGGGGTCTGGCCTCCTGGTCCAGGCTCTAGGGTCTGATCCCCTGCATCCCATGCAAGGGTCCCCTCAGGACCATGGTCCACCTCTGGGGAAGAAGGGGCTTTATAGAGTAGCCCCCCCAGCCCCAGTAGCTCAGTGGCTCCATCCAGGGCTTCGGGGTCTTTTTCCAGGCCAGCAGGGGTATCAAGCAGGTCTAGGGCTCCAGAGGATAGAGACGGGCCAGGGGGGGCCCATCCTCGAGTTGGGGCCGTCTGAGACTCCAGGAGATCTTCTCCAAATTCCATGTCGACTGGAAGGTCTCCAGGCAGGGGCTTCTCTGGCAGGGTCAAGGAATCAAATGGACTGGGGAAGTCACTGGGGTCCATTAGGATGGCTGGGTATGTACTGTAGATCAAGGGTGGAAGAGGAGGGAAAAGAGGTGATCTTAGCCAGAATTCTCTTACAGACTCTAGGACACACCCCACCATCCACTTGGATTTCATGTGAACGCCCCCCACCCCCACAATCCCCCCCATCACAACCGAGTAGAATTTCCACAGGCTTTAGTCCAAATGACCACTCCTCCCACCCATACAGTACCCACTCTCCCACTCCCCCACCCCCCATGGATAGAAGTATTTCCAGCCCTGGCCTAGGGCCCACACTAACCAGGCGGTCATTCCACCGCCTGCGCCCCCTCCCATCCCAGACTGCAACTCACAGTTCCCCTTCACCCTTACCTTTCACACTGACACCCCCCACCCTCTAACCCCCCTCCCCGCGCCCAACTCAGCTGAACTCCTTCTTAGAGTCTCCTAAGGAGGTCGCCATCAGGAACCTTTCCCATCTCCTCGATATGTTTCTATCCTTTTCCCACTCCCCTAAAGCCCCCCAGTTTTTCAGTCTTCACCCACCCTGTCTAGCCCCACCCCCTCCCCACGTTGCCTGTTTCTCAGCCTTTCCCCCACCCCCACAAACTGCCCTTCCTAACCCCTCCCCCTCCCCCCCTTTACCTTTCAGGGTTGCCCACTTACTCAGGTCCATCCACCCTTTCCCACTGCTCCCTCAATCCTCCCTTCTGTTGCCCACCCCCACCCCCAGGCATTTACAGGAAGACATTTTGGAGCTACGATCTCTCATTAGACACCCCACCACCACCCAGACTACAGCAAAACCCAGCCTGCAGGTTCGGTTTGATTTGACCAGAGCCCTACCTGCAGCGGGGTTAGTGTAAGGGCTACAAGCCTAGAACTGCAGACAGCGATGGCCCCGCGCTCCTTCTCCACCTCCCTCCCCAGCAGCTTGGACAGGGGTCGCGGCCCCTTTAAATGGCAGCTCAGCTCACAGCACCCAGCGCTCTGCACCAGGCGGGCGGGTGGAGCCAACGACCAACCCCATTGGCTGGCTCACGGAGGGGGCTCGCGAGACAGTGCCGGCCCCCGGCGCGAGACTCCCAGCCCAGTGGCCGCCTGGAAATTGCGGAATGGAGCAGAGTCGTGGGAGATGGAAGCTTGAGCCCCCGCTCAGGGCCCCGTTAGTTGAAGGGGAAAAGCCTCCTAAGCTTTGAAGCCCGCCCCTAGGAAAGGCGGCACCCCATTTCCAATGAAGGGCCGAGTCCACCAACGCACACAAAACACAGATCTACGCACCTGCTTCCTTTACCTGGCCCAAGTGTCTGGCCCCCGTCACACCAGAGCCAGCCCTACCTCCAGAAGCCCACTCTACCGTGATCCCCTCCTCTCATTCAAATGGTTCCCGGTCCCCTCCTCCCCCCACCCGCCGTGTACCGCTTCTCTTCCCACTCGTGTTCGATCCCCCGCGTTCAACAGTGCCCCCCCCCGCCCGCCCGTGCGTCCGTCCCCCTCACCAGTCCCTACCTACGCCATGCAGCAGACGCCAGCCAAGATTACCCTCCCCCTTCCCCACCTCTCCAGGGCCCGCCCTCTGGACGACTGTTGGGGTAATGAGTGACAACAGAGGGTGGAGGGAGGCTGGGACCCAGCTTTCACGGGCCCCTCCTCCTCTTGTGTGCAGCCTTAGGCCCCCTAGCCAGTATGAAAGTCACAGTTATGGAGTGTCTTAAGCTTGGTCTTCAGCCACCCAGGGCGTGTTATATGGCTCTGGCTTAGTGACAACGCCTATGCAGTAACCGTTACTACCTGGTGACCCCCAAACCAGACCCTGCACAAACACCCCACCCCCTCAAAAATCTAAGGGTAAATTCTGGGTTCTTCACCCTGCGTCCTCCAGCAGGAGCTCCCGGCATTGGCTCTGAAGTAGTTTTCCTCACCAGGGCTCTTAACTCTCCTTCCTTCTGCAATCTGTCTGTTTCTCCCTCGCCCTCTTGTTCTGTGTCTCTCCTCCTCTTTCTTTCTCGATCTCATTTTGTCATGCTCTCTTATCTCTCAGCCTTTCATACCACGAACACGCACGCGCGCAAATACTCACACTCCCCACTCCACCCCGCCCCCCACCTTCTGGAGGGCCTTAACATGGGGGTGTGGCTAAGGTTGAGGCGAGGGGAGAGGGGGAGGGGCACTAGCATTTGCCTATGGGCTTTTAAAATCAGCATAACGATTCCTTCTCAGTCCTCTTATAGTTTGAGCACTTTACAATCTCTGCCAACCTCCCTTCTCCAGTCTTTAAAGCCTGGGAAGCATTTAGTAGCTGCGACACAAGAGAGAATTCGTCCACAGATTTAGTACCTAGACTTCGTGTCCAGTGACTGGCTAGCCTGTCTCTTTGCACTGGGGCCTACTCTCCTTTTTAAGCCACGTCTCTTCCAACCCTACAGTCGTCTGGTGTTTTATTCTTGCTTTTCTCTTTGACTTTCCCAGAGACTGTATCTTTCTTAGCTCCCCACAAGGCCTTGAGGTTATGTTTGTTATCTCCCACATAAAAAGATAAAAGAGGTGGGTTTTTTTCCATGTAAGCTTCCCAAACACAGCTTCTTTTTTTTATCTTAACCAGTATTATGTGTACCCACCTCCCATCTTCTGCTTATCTCTGTGTTCTTGTGCATCTAGCTTCTTGGCTTCATCTCAGTTGGGTTACCTAGTTATTTTGTATTACTTGTTCTTATTGGGGGAGCTCTTCTGACCAAGTGGTGATTAAGGCATTGGGCTCAATCCACATTTTCAGCAGCTGGAAACCTAGCTTGTCTGGCATTCTTTCCAAACATCGGGACTTTTTTAAAACGCCGTGGGACGCAGGAAAAATTGTTAAGAATCGGGACTGTCCCGCCAAAAGCGGGACGTCTGGTCACCTTAGACTTGATGGCAGTGAGTTTGGTTTTGGTCTGTCCTTATTAACTCATGCTTGGCCCCTTCACTGCTCTGGTTATGAAAGAATGACTGGTCACTATCTTTCCAGATGAACGGAAACAAGGAGTAGTTAATGGTATATTATTTACTCTAGGGATGGTACGGTAGAATAAAAAGTACACAGGTTCTAGGGTCAGGCCAACCAGGATTCTAATGTAAACACTGTCTGACTTTTAGCCAGGTGACTCTGGAAAAGGGACTTCTCACGTCACTGGATTTAGTTTTCTCCTCTTTAAAACAGATGTAGTCAATTACCTGTTTTGGACACTTAGATTGTTTTCTTATCTCTGTTTTGATACATTTACACAATGGATGTAGCCATTGACCACCATATTTTTTAAAACTAATGATGCAAAAATACTCATGGTATAATGTTAAATGAGAAAAAAAGAGTTAAAATTATCTATGTGTGAAAATCTTACGTGTGTGTGTATACAGAGTGAACAGGACTAAATATCCCAAAATATGAAGCATAATTATCACTATGTGGTGGGAATACATGAATTTTAAAAAGAATTGGCTCCATCACTGTTGTTAGTTGCTACTGAACCAATTACAATTCATGGCAACCTCAAGTGTGTCCAGTTGAGCTGCTCCACAGGTTTTCTTGGAGGGAGCACTGGTGGCATAGTGGTTACGTGTCCGGCTGTATTGTGCATGGTCTGCAGTCCGAAACCACAGGCAGCTCCATGGGAGAAAGACGGCTTTGCATTCCAAATGCTTAGCGTCTCGGAAACCCACAGGGGGTCACTCTGAGTCAGCACTGGCTTGCTGTCAGGGTGTTTAGAAGGATTTTGTTGTTGTTCTTTCATCTGAATGGAAGCCAATAGCCATGCTTATCTTCCAAAGCATATCTGAGTGAGTTCCAAGCACCAACCTTGTGGCTAGTTGTCCAATGTGCCATAGCGAGACTCCTATTTTCTGCATTGTTTCTCATTATTTTCTACATTTCCCCCCACTGTGCACATATTGCTTTGATAATCAAGATAAATACTAACATTTCAAAATGTGAATATTGAACACCTACTTTCCAGGGTTGTGCAGATTATAAATAACATGCCAGACACAAAATAGACATTCAGTAATATTTTAAAAATCATTTTATTGGGGGCTCTTACAACTATTATCACAATTCACACATACATACATTGTGTCAAGCACATTTGTACATTTGTTCCCATCATCATTCTCAAAACATTTTCTTTCTACTTGAGCCCTTGGTATCGGCTCCTCATTTTTCCCCTCTCTCCCCCACCCTCCCTCCTTCACAAACCCTTGATAATTTATAAATTATTATTTTTCATGTCTTACACTGTCTGATGTCTCCCTTCACCCACCACTTTGCTGCTGTCAGTCCCCCAGGGACGGGGTTATATGTAGATCCTTGTGATCGATTCCCCTTTCTCCCCCACCTTCTCCTTCCCCTCCTGGTATCTCTACTCTCATTATTGGCCCTGAGGGGTTTATCTGTGCTGGATTCCCTGTGTTTCCAGCTCTGATCTGTACAAGTGTACATCCTCTGGTCTAGCCAGATTTGTAAGGTAGAATTGGGATCATGATAGTGGTGGGGGCTGGGGGTGGGGAAGGACTAAAGAACTAGAGGAAAGTTGTGTGTTTCATTGGTGTTATACTGCACCCTGACCGGCTGGTCTCCTCCCTGTGACTCTTCTGTAAGGGGATGTCCAGTTGCCTACAGATGGGCTTTGGGTCTCCACTATGCACCCCCCCCCCATTCACAATGATAAGATTTTTTTGCTCTTTGATGCCTGATACCTGATCCTATCCACACCTGGTGATCACACAGGCTGATGTGCATCTTCCATGTGGGCTTTGTTGCTTCTCAGCCAGATGGTCACCTGTTTATCTTCAAGCCTTTAAGACCCCAGATGCTATATCTTTTGATAGCCAGGTACCATTAGCTTTCTTCACCACATTTACTTATACACCCACTTTGTCTTCAGCGATTGTTGTTGGGGAGGTGAGCATCATGGAATGCCAGTTTAATAGAACAAAGTGTTCTTGCATTGAGGGTGTATTTGAGTAGAGGCCCAATGCCCATCTGCTACCTTAGTAAACCTATAAATATATGTACATAGATCTATTTCCCCATTGTTACATATAAATATATTTACATATGTACATGCCTGTATTTAGACATTTATAAATTCCCTTTACCTCCTAGCTCTTTCCTCTATTTCCTTTTACTTTCCACTTGTCCCACTATCATGCTCAGCCTTCATTTGGGTTTCAGTAATTCCTCTCGGTTACATTGCCCTTGATTAAGCCCTACCAGGCCTCCTACACCCACCTCGCCATCGATTTTAGATCACTTGTTGTTCCCTTGTTCCTGGGTTTGTTAACACCCACTTCCTTTCCCCCCACCTTCCCCTCTCCCATGTCCCCCTGAAAATGTGTTGTTCCCGGTCCCATTGTTTTCTCCTCCAGATTGTTTATCCCACCTATCTTTTCTAGATAGCCCTGCAGAGATAATAATATGCACAAACAGCAAGACAGAGCAAAACAAAGCAACAAAAGAAAACAACCAAAAAAATGACCAAAAAAAGAAAAGCCTGTAAATAATTCAAGGTCTGTTTGTTGACTTTCGGAGTGTTTTCTGGTCTAGTCTGATCAGGTACCAAGCCCTGGCCCCACAGTCTATTTTTGGTATTCCCTGGGGACTTCATTGCTCTGTTCCCCTTGCTGTTCTGTTGCACACCCTTAGTGTTTCGCCTCAGTGTGGTGGGGTCAGATTGGGGGCAATTCCTGCACTGTGTCTCCAGTGTTGTCCCCCGTAGCAATGTGGGTTCAGTAATTTTTTAAAATGTTTTTTTCAGTAATTTCTTTTTTTAGGACCCAGTGGTGCATAGTAGAAAGACCATGTACTTTACTGTCAGAAAGTTGAGGGTCCAAATCCTAATTCTGTCATGAATAGATATATGCACACTCATGTTCATTGAAGCAAGGTTCACAAAGATGCTATCTTTCAT